AACATCTGTCGTCACGGCACCACCACTGCAGCCGCCCTTGGGACCACCACCAGAGCCCCAGTGCCCCCAGATCACAGGCGGATCTCTCCAGCCCCGCCCCCCCCCCGCGACAGAGCATCCCCTATTACATTTTGCCCGTATCTGCTTTCCGGCAGCCGTAGACCTCCCCGAAACCGCCACGGCCGATGATTCGGTGAACACTGAAGTCGTTCATGGTGAGCTGGAGGAAGTGAGAAGAAGGTGGGGGTGAGCCTGGACGTTTGGGTCCCGCTGCACCTGCCCTGCACCAAGAGCCGCATGTGTCCAAGGCGGGGGGAAGTCCCACACCCTGCCTCAGTTTCCCTGGGTGAGGAACACAGGAGATGCTCCACATGTCCTCGTGAGCGTGGGCAGGCACCAGAGAGCCGTCTGCGAGTGAGTGAGAGCCCTGGGGAGTGTGTGAGGGTGCCCCCGAAGGGTGCTCGTCTGAGGGTACCCGCCCCAGCCCTAGTGAGCCCTGGGGCAGCAGCCTTGCCACTGTCCCCACGTTCCCCTCCCTGGAAATGCCCGGGGTGCCCCGAGGTGCAGGGTTCCCTGCTCACATGGATGTTCAGCTCCACGTTCTTCCACTGGCAGAACCGCGTGAACTTGTCACTGCAACGAAGCACAGAGAGGGCAACAGTGGAGCCCCTGGAGAGACCCCCCCCAAGACCCATCTCAGGGCAGAAGGGCCCCTTGGACTTGTCTGGAGACAGGCAGCAACCCCCAGGACCCCCGTCTGGGAACAGAGAGACCCTGGGCCAGACCTGGGGATGAGAAGAGTCCCCTGAGTCCCTGGTCTGGGGACAGATACCCTTGGAGCTCCTATCTAAGAGGGGACCCCTGGTCCCTCTCTGGGCCAGGAGACCCTGGTCCCCAGTGGGACGGGACACCCCGATTCGCGTGGGACTGTCCCCCATCTCACCTCTCGATGAATTTCTGGAAGATGCCGCCACGCAGGTTCTGGCAGATCTCCTCGATGTAGGGCTGGAGGGACACAGGGCTCAGCGGTGGGTCCCCAGGGTCACCCATATCCCTCAGGTCCCACCATTATGAGAGGGCTCCACCCCTGGGATTTCACATATGCCCACACTGCCACCCTGACACTGCCAGGCCCCTGGGGGATAGTTCTGCCACCCGGGGTCACCTGCGTCTCTGGGGACCCCAACGTCACCATCCCTGCGGACCGTACTGTCGCCTCATGTCACGTCTACATACCACCCTTTGATGGACTCCCCTGTTACCTCCAGCCCCCAGCCTACCATCCCATGGGGACCCCCAGCAATCCCCCTCGCTCCCAACCTGCTGGGGAGCCCCTCACCATCCCTTGGGGTCCCCATCCCTTCTGGGACCCCCTACCGCCTCCAGGGGCCCCTGTCACCACCAGCCCCCAGCACCCTCTCACCAGCCTCCCCCACTAAGGATTAACCCTCCGAGTACCAGAGGTGGCAGGGACCCCTTCTCTGTCCCGGGTGATGCCCACCTGAAAGAGGTCTGGGGGCACCTGCTTCTTGCTCAGACGACTCTGAACGTGCTCCGTGGCACTCTTGGAGAAGGGCTGTGAGGCAAGACGGGACTGTGTCACCCTGGGCAGAAGGGACGGGGGCAGAGGGGCAAGGCCTGCACAGCACAGCACTCACGTGGGAGCAGGCCAGCAGCTCCTTCATGATGTAATGGTCAAAGATGTGGCGGCTCCGGGCGGTTCGCTCCTCCTCGGAGTCCAGCTTCTCGTATTTCTTGATCTGGCAAGGGCACAGCTCCCGTGGCACAGGGGCACGCAGCCCCTGGGCCTGGGCCAACACGGAGCACAGCCCTCACCCCTCACAGGGCTGGGTGGCCCCCTGGACCTGGTACACCAGGAACCACGTCCCCAACCCCTCTGGGTACCACGTCCCACAGGCACCCAGTGGTTATCATGTCCCCTGGGTACCCAGGGCATCACCTCCGGGCCCCCTTGGGTACTCTGCATGCTCTTGGTACTGTGTCTGTGGGCACTGTAGGTACCAAATCCCACCCTCAACCCTCCTCGTGACCACAGGGGTCCATCCGGATGGGTCCCCCTATCTCACCTCCTCATAAAACTCCATCAGGGGTTTGGCCTCCTCTGCCTGGTTAAAGGCGAAGTCCCGGAAGAGCAGGTACCCTGGTGGGGCCAGAGCCATGACGTGAGAAGTGCCTGCCCCAGAGCGGCAACACGTGCCCTGTAGCCCAGGCCAAGGGGCACAGGGATGTCCCCTGGGCCTGTCTGTCCCCACAGCCACTCCCATGCCAGGCTTGGGGAAGTGGAAGTGCCAAGCTGGAAGCTGGCCAGGGTTTGGCAGGACGATGCGGTGAGGCAAGGACACCGGTTGTCACAGGGAGGAGCAGTGCAGCACTATAGGGCACTATGGGGCACTATGGGGCAGGGGGGCGGTGGGGTAGCGAGGAGGTTGGTACAGTTGGGGAGCAATGGGGCAGAGGCACAGGCGGGCACCGTGGAGCAAGCTGCTGTGGGGAGGACGTGTCCGGAAACCACCAGAGCCGGCGGGAGGAAGTGAGAGGCGCTTCCTGCCCCGGACGGTTAGCATCGACGCTGGGGGAAGTGACGGGGCGGGGGACGCGGGGTGGGGGGACGTGGCGCAGGAGGTTGTGTCACGCAGCCCCCAGGCACCTCTGCCCAGCCCAGCTCCGCAGCCCCCTGGCTTCCCCCAGGCCATGCCAGGGGCAGAGGGGAATGGCCACGGCCACTACCACTGTCACGGCTGCCACCAAACCAGCCCCCCAGCGCTGACCCAGGCACACAATGAGCGTCCCTGCACTTGTGGGCGCTCATCCACGTGCCCTCCCTTCTGCTCCCCGTGTCCCCAGCTCACCGATCTTCTGCGTGAAGATCTTGTCGAACGTCACCTCTCCCCGGTCCTCCAGGTACTTCTGCATGACGCTGCGGATGCTGGGGAGAAAGCGGAGGGGCTCAGCACCCCGGGGTGCCCCGTGCCCCCTGGCAGACCTCTGCTCCCGACACCCCCAGTGCCCCCCATGCCCACCCTGTGCCCACCATGCCCCTCCTCTCCTGCATCCCCATGCCCTGTTGGCGGCCATGTCCTCCCATCTTGTGTCCCCCCCCAAGTGTGACATGTTGCTGGGCCCCGATAAGGGTCAGGCACGGGGTGCCCCATGTCCACGGGAGGTTGGGAAGGAGGCTACCCCCAAAAAAGCCTCCCTGGTTGCACGGTGTGCCATGCTGCTGCATGCCACGCCGTGCTCTGTGCGGTGTGTCATGCCGTGCGTGTGTGTGCGCGCGGCGGGTGTGCAAGGGGAAGTTGTGGAGCGGGTTGCGTGGGCAGGAGGGGGTGTGCGCATGAGAGCGACACAGGCGCGGGGGCGGCGTGGGCAACGGGGGGCACCCCAACGCCGTTGCGTGGGCAGGAGGGGGTGTGCGCATGAGAGCGACACAGGCGCGGGGGCGGCGTGCGCAGCGGGGAGCACCACAACGCTGCGCGTGTTGTGCGTGTGTGCGCGCATAGGGAAGGCAGGGTGTGCCGGCGGAGCCCCTGCACGCGCGTGCCGATGTACACCGCGTGTGCACGTGCGACCACACAGAAGGGTTTGGGTTGGAAGGGACCTTAGAGATCATCTCGTTCCATCCCTCTGCCATGGGCAGGGACATCTTCAAGTAGTTCAGGTCGCTCCAAGCCCCGTCCAACCTGGCCTTGAACACCTCCAGGGATGG